GGGGGGGGGGTGGAAGTGGAAATTGGCAAGTTCAGACAACTTAACAAACAGAAAAACGAAAATGATTCATGAGACATCAGGAACTTCCAAAGGGTAAAATTTATTTATACCAATTCGAAAGTCTCAGTGATACACAATGTCATAACTGCAATGACCTCTTCATTTTACATATATTTACACATATAATAAACGGACTCGTTTGATGAATGTGCGCACCCTGCGAGTAAGACAGTGTGTTTAAACTGTGTGTGTACTCACCCTGCGGGTCGGAGAACAGACATGGATTTCTACTTGCATCATCGCACTAATAATGTTGCCGCTGCTGATTAGGATGTGACTATTCAAAATCGAAGTCGGCGCTACATGCTCTGAGCGTATCCTGTGACGAGGGACTTCGCAAGATAGAATAAAGGTATTTGATTAATTTTGTCGACGAATTTTGTTGTGAAATAAATCACGCAAGGGATTGTGATGGCGTTTTTTAGCTGCGTATCTCATTGCATTTATTCACCCCTTCATTCATTCATAAACTGTTTCCAATCGCGTTTTCTTGAATATCTGTTCTCTTCACTGTTCTTTATTTGTGCCTCGACAGTGGGAGACCCCGCACGTGACCTTGAATTTCGACAATAGTGGTAAATATAAAACATAGTATCGACAATCGACTTCATTCAGGTAACTTCTGCAACACTTATCGCGTTAGTGATGCCTTTATAGAAAACGCCAAAACCGCTGTAAAACTAACCCTCTTTTTAACAAATCGTCTTACGGATTACGACTCTGCCCAGTGAAGTCTATCGCAGGAGAGTGCGACACGGTAATCCGTACGCGACCAGGGAAATCTGCAGCAACACAATGGCTAGGTGCAATACTACCGTCTACCAGGGCCACAGATTGACTTTTCACAGGATATTCACAGATGTGTCTTTAGATAAATAGACGGTCATTTTACTATCTCTGAATTTTGCCATTTTCCCTATATAATCAGCCACCCTGGTAGAGGGTAATGCAAACAGGAAGTGGTTGGGTCCACCGATTAATAAATATGTGGCAGTTAGAGAAGTTATAAGCTAAATCAATGGAATCCCCCCCCCCCCCCAAAAAAAAAAAAAAAAAAAAAATGAGTGATGTTTTAGAACTGCATTGAATCTGTTTCAAAGAATTCTTAAGTTGGTATCATACAACATTCAGCGCCGTGAGGCTGAAAGTGAGGATAAGGCACACGCACGCGCGTGTGTGAGAAAGAGAGAGAGAGAGCGAGAGACAGAGAGAGAGGGAGAGGGAGGTGGAAAACCCTAAGATTGAAATAAAATAAAAAAAGAGAAGGCTTCACCCTCTTTTCAGCTTTTCAGAAAAATAAACGTGTGGCGTGTCGTTTCCATGAAACTATTGAAACTGTACCGACTTAATGAAGACGGTCTGTTAAAATCTGCTGTTAAAAAAGGGGAAATCATTTGAACAGTCATAATCGAATCGGGGTCAGCGCCATGGTCATCTAAACCTATTTCATATACACACACAACAGGGGCGGACCCAGAACTATTTTCTGACAGTCTTCCAAATTATCTTTGTTGATTCACCCTCTAATTCTGACCGTCTTCCAACATGAAAAATTGGATACCTGTCAATGTAAGCTTGAAAATCTGACCGTCTTCCGGAAGACCCAGAAGACGGCCTAAATCCGCCCCTGCCACAATGTGTATGGTCACACTGGTATATAAATGCATATATAGAGATCAATACAGACGCACCTGAACAGACTCGCGGAGGGTACTATATCGGTACTGTACTATACTACATACTATATACTATACTATTTACTATAGTATACTGTATTATACTGTTTGACCGAGTGTGTGAACAACCGTATTAAATGTTACGTGAAGGGAGGCGGTGCGTTATCCATTATAAGGTGGTGATCGGTGGTGGGTGGTGAATTATTGACGAGAGAGGAGGGGGAAGATAAATGGGTAAAAACATCCCCAGGAGGCATCGTCCCGATTTTCATATCAGAGACAACGATTCTATCGCTGTTACACTGACTATTACATTGATCGCCCTGATACACACGACAATATTACATGCAGGCACCACTGGTATATAGGACACCTGAAATCGGTACTCCGTTATTCTGGGTGAAAATCTCAATGTCGTCCATTCCGACCCGTATTTTCCATTAATTACCACAGTAAAAATATAACCAATGGCAGTGAGCGGCGGTGATTATTTACCGTGCATGAGCCCAAGGCTCCGGGTCGGGCTTCATTCCTCCTGCTCGATCAAACGATATATCTTGAACACATTATGTCCTGGTGGTAGAAAATATAACCACAGGTTGTCGCCAAGGTATTCTAATTGCCGGACATTATAACGACAGGGAACCATTCTGGAAGGTCTCCTGTGGGTATACGTATAAACTGACCGTGCCTCATAAGTCCATAATTCAGAGGATTTAGGGTTGATTGTGCGTGAGTGTATCTGTGTGTGTTGCGCTCGCGAGTGCGCGTTAGCGTGTGCGCATTTCAATCTCCATTACCTGTGCCACGGGCGTGTTCGTGATTACCTTAGAAGCTTTAACGGCAATATCCAAAGTAGATCTGAGTAGATGCCTCTCAAACTAAACCCCCACACTGGGACTTGACGGCTGGTAAATTACTAACAAGTTATCTGATGAAAAACAGGAGCGTGAAAATAATTGTAGACCATTAAATGACTCAGGCAAAAACTGTTTAGGATAAGTAATTGTAGCTTTCAGATTCTAATTGATAAACACGGTATTCCTAATTTGTGGCTACACAGTTTAAGACTACCCTCTACAAGGGTCACAGATAGAATTTTCTCACTAGGATAGTCACAGATATCCCTCAGGCTAATTCTGTACACATTTCCGTTCCCAGTTTCACAAAAAATCTCAAGTCAGTTCCCTGGCTTAGCTGACTAGGATTTCCATGAGAGTGCTGTAACACTGTGCCTGATAGGATGAGATGTGCCCATGTGACCATGTTACCTTGGTAATTAAGTTCTTAGCCAGGAACTTGACGTAAGTTTTTTTTTTTTGTGAAACAGGGACCAGGAAAGAAAAAAGACGCCTTCACCTAGCTGAGCCCTAACAGAGGGACGTCAAAGGCGATGTGGGTGGGGAGGGGGGGGGGGAAGCTCGCACGTGGTCATAGCCAGATTTTAGTCGATTTCCAAGCCTGATTAAAAATACTGGTGCCAAATATGCGTATTAAAAGCACATCCTGCCATTTCAATGCCGATCTTTGGTTTCCGATGTTAATAAATGTTATGTTACTGTTAATAACACGTTAGACAATACATTTCAGCATTCTGAGTACTGATATGCTTTATCAACACTTCATAACTACTTCGTAAAATTCCATATACAATATATGGAATTTATACATCTAGCTATTGAAATCTGCTCATCAGGTTTGTAAACTGATTATAACGTAAATGCCCTTTTATTACATATTAACGTTTCTTGTGAGCATCGTAAATCATTAGTTTGTAATTAACACATTAGACAATACACGTTAATATTTTGAGTACTGATATATTATCAATAGGCCAACTTCAGAAATATTTTGTCATCACTTGTAGTCTGGCCTATGTTATTATCACAATTTTACTAAACGGAAACAATAATGACGTGTTAAATGCTTTATGATGCTCAGATCAATAAATAGACGCCTGGTACGTACATGTACTTCGGGGATTTACGTTCAAGCTGCTACATTGCTCATAGATCCTGAAATATATTTTATTACAAATGTCCAACGGAGGAAATTTTTGTGTGTTAATTTTTAATGGGTTCGGTCCGAGCGAAATTTAGATTCAAAGGAGTTAAAGCTCTACTTTCGAATAGACATTTTGAAACTTCATGGGAGAAAACACGATGCGTTGTTTGAATTCGTTCGCTTTACTTTTAACAGCTGCTTCTAACACACAGGGATACTTGTATGCAAAATAAGAGGCATTGTTAGTATTTGCAGTGCATATATATTCTGATAAAACTTTGTGAGAGCTTGTGTCGAAAGGAAGGGTATCCTTTTCTGAACAATAAAAATCAGTATTAAACATTCATTAAAAATAAGTGATAAAGACTCTTATTTCCGACACAAATCAAACCAAATTATCTTTGTTGATCCATTCTCTATTTTGACCGTCTTCCGACAGAAAACATAAGATACCCTTCATTGTAAACTTGAAAATCTGACCGTCTTCCGGAAGACCCAGAAGACGGCCTAAATCCGCCCCTACCACTCTCCATAGCTCTCCATGTAACGAGTACTACATGTATATACAGCCATTGGAAATAACAGAAGGATATCGTAGGAAATGCACTGCATATATCGATCACAATTTTTAGATGAAATATTTACATGAAAGTAACAGTTTCAGATAGCCTTTATTATTATTATTATTATTATTATTATTATTATTATTATTATTATTATTATTAAAACAGTTGTAGAAAAAGGGAGACTTCATTTTTGCCGATATTTTAGGGGCAAATTTAAGTAAACGCTGTACACTGTAACACACGGGGTGGTTGCCGCAGCGGAAGGTTTTAACCGCTATCCTTTCTACAAACTATAGATAGCCACGTTAATAACCCGCGTCGGGCGATTAAGTCTTTTTCAGTGTCCTATCTTGTACCTGCGCCATGTATTGAGCCGTTATCAGCGTGTCTATTTTGTTCACAGAGACCAAGAAAGCTGTTGCGACACTGCCAACACGGACATAAAATTAGTACTCAGGTGCAGTGTTATACATGTATAATTTGAAAACTGCCTGGCAGATTAATAGGGAAATTGTGTAATTATGATTGCATGGTGCTTTGAAAACATAGGATACTTTATTTTTCTATTTATTTTTGTTCACAGAAAAAAACGAGGCCCTTGTATCGCGGACGTGGGTATCAGTAACGCCCCACGCAGATAACTAAGTGATGATCGGAGGGAAGTCTTACCACGCTTACAGTTCAGATAACAACCAGCGAAGACACCACAAGTGCGTGGAGGAAATTTAACTACACTTAAAACACAGAGGACTACTTTCACACAAAGGAGACAGCTAGAGACGTTAAGACAAAAAAAAAAAAAAAGAAAAAGACAGACGCGGGCGGTTCCTGTTACAGAGAACCCGCATGATATACACACGCTGTCTTCATAAACAACTACAATTAAGGACCCTGGGAGCTGAAGACAGGAATATCTCTCATCAGTGCATATACTTTAGGATTACAACGTCAACATTGGGGAGATAGTGAGGCGTTATTTGGGGCAAAGGATTTGTCGTGATTAAAGCCCTAGGGAAGCGTATATTGTATCATTTTTCCCAAGGAATACACTACGTTGTGGTTGTGTTGTTTCGGATTTCATCGTTATTGCTATGAGGTGACGTCACGCTAATTGCTGTGACGTCATTGTAGGGATATACAGAGTCGTGACGTCATTTGAATGGTAGAAAGTGCCAGGATGCCGCAGGTTTGGATTTACGTGGTGGCAATGACTGTGCTGAAACTTTGTGGGACTGAGGAGGTGATTGCAGGTAAGGGATTCTGTCCTCTCTCTCCCTCCCCGCTGCCTCTCTTTTCTCCTCCCCAGCTCCTTCTTTTTCTCTCTCTTTCACTTTCGTCTCTCTTGCGTCTTCCTCTCTCTCTGGTCTCTCTTGTTTCTGTCTCCTGCTTCCTGTCTTTCGCCCTTCTCCCTCTCTCTCACTCTCTCCCTCTTTCTCTCCCTCCCCTCCCTCTCTCTCTCTCTCTCTCTCTCACACACACACACACACACACACACACAGTGGAGTATTCATTCAAACACAAAACTACCTTCAAAAACAAATTTATCGCAAAGTCCTCCTTTTTGCTTGCAGAAACCCCAAACGAAATCGATGTTCAGGGGTTAAAAAATTAGATTACAAAATTGAAAATATTTCTGGTAACAGCAGCACCGGCGACCAGCCCAGTACAGGTGCACATACGATGTAATGAAAGAAACTGATTCTTGATACACTCCGGTACGTGGAAAAAAAAAGAAAATAAACACTAGACAAACTTCACAACAGTAAAAGGAAAATATGAAAGTTCGTGTTGTTTCGTCTCTATTTGTTGACGCGAGCGAAGCAATGCGCCCTGTTTACACTGGCAGTAAAACAAACACGGCCAACACGTCTCTGGTTCTCGTGTATACACACTTTCTCTGTTGGATGCATGGAGCGTTGATAAAACAGTTTGAAGTGAGGCCGTGTGAATTACATCGACACTTGTGGTGTGAAAGTCCCCACGATAGAAAACACGCGTTAAGTCCCTGATACCGCCGGCTACGCGGATTAAGTAAATGTATATTTGTGTTTCTTTTCTTATTATGATTCTGTATGATAAAGCAATATATGGTTTTGTTAGTACTCTCCTGCTTGCTGGTCAGACGTGCATGTTTTTAATGATGTAGACCCAATAAAACTGTTACTCAACATCGCGTCCCATGAAACGTTTTTAAATTTAAACATCTGGTAGAAGCTGGTGCCCATTCTCCGTTTTCTACCGCTGTTAAAGGTTCAACCAAAGTCACTTTACCTTCATCAATTTCGTCCAGAGAATTCAGAAACGTAACGAACACTTCTGGGGCATGGCACTATAAGCACGTCTTTTATCTCAAGTGACACGGTGACTGTATGTGCAATTACACAAATTACACTGCAAGCCTTCCTGTGAAGAGAGTCTTGCTAGTCGTTCCTCCAATGCAAAAAAAAAAAAAAAAGAAAGAAAGAAAAAAAAACTGCAAGTACAAATAATTATTGTCGAGTCAGGATTGATCAAGTCTCAAAAGTAATGAACACACTTTGTTTCGTTTATTATTATTATTATTATTATTGCGTAGACCCCGCCGGTTCTCAGTTTAAACCCGTACAAGATCTGAAATAAATGGCGTCACATGTCACTGCTACTTTGTGAGAACAAAAAAAAAAGGTGCAGGCAAACTATGAAAATTTTGTCATATCAGTATCACATTTGTACAAAAACCACTGGATTGTCGTCCTAGTTATGAAATTGTCCCCCCTTTCTGACGGTTTTTCCCCCTAGGGGTTAATAATTCCACTGTCATATATCATCTGTGTCACGCAGACGATCAGGGCTGTGCCGCTCGTCTAGTGTCGTCTGCTACGGAAGCGGTGTTAACTGCACTTGCGCACCCTCACGTGATGGCAAAACGCCCAGTTCAGTCCCTTAAATAAAGTCATACTTCTTCCAACGATTCTGATTTCAACGGCAAATAACGGTTCAAAAGTGAAACTAGTATTTTTGTAGAGAATGATTAGCTTTTCAGAGTATATTTAGCAGTATTTTCTTTTTTTTTATAAGATAACGTAATCCCTACTCTCATCGTGCCAAGAAGCCCAAATATTTTTCGATTTTCCAAATTTCATGTTGGAGTTTAGGCCTATTCTACGTTCAGATATATCAGAACATTTGTTGAAGTTTATATATGCCTAAGGCGGAGGGGGATACAGGGTCATTGGCATTTTGTACATTATGTAGATGCGCACCAGAGACCACATGGTTTACAGTCCGTGCCTTACTGGTGCAGCCATTTCACCCTCGAACCATAGCCATTTTCAATACCTAGCAACGAAATTCTAAACATGGTCATTTACTACTCGTGGTGTTCAATATCTTTTTGATTTATGTATTTTTTTCATCTAATGTGGTTAGCTTTTTGTTGTAATATGATTCATTCCATAAGGGTGGCATTTTTTAAATTCTTTTATACTCTAAGGCGTTTTCAGTTTTTACGACTTTGTCAGCCGTGACTTACAGAAGAAAAACACGACTGCCCTCAGATCGGTTCCTTTTGCCTTATTTGTCTGCGGGACAGTTGATCTTTTGTCCGCTCTTTGTCACTCGATAGCTCAATATGATGGTAGGTTTGAGAGGAATAAAAAAAACACACCAAAACACCTTGAATACTTTTCAAAACTGTCGCTGAAGTCGATATTGTGTATTGTGACAGCGCCATTCCCAAGTTACAGGTCGCATTGCTTTTTACACGCCAGTGCATCGCGTGTATTTTTTGAAAAGCATGTTTCTTCATTCTTTTCTCACTCGTAGGATAAGGCACAATATACAGAAAGAACAAACCCTTAACTGTTTACCAATTCTGTTGTTAAAATCCAAACACCTATGGTTGTTTTGATAAAATAGTTTCTGGGACTGAGTAGGGTGTTGTAGGCCTACTGTACAGTGTATGGGACAAATCCCAAGCTGGTCTCAAAGCCCACATGAGGGCCTGCCTGTGAAGAGCCTCTAGCTCAACTCAGACAGTCATCTTCGGTAACGAAGGACAGCCTGATGATGATGATGTAGGCCTACAGTGTATGGGGCATGGTAGGCCTACATTTGTATGAGTAACGTTCTCCTATTAGTCCGGTGGCTTAAGGAAAAAATCGTGACACGGCGGATAAAAGCACCAAATTTTGCATGTGGGTACCTTTTGACATTCTAAATCAAATTAGAGCCGTAGCCCACGGAAAAAATTTACCGTTTGGCCAAAAAATCCAAAATGACCGCCAATTTATTGAACTCTTTAGAAATATGTACATACCTATGTTGATTTTTATCAAATAAATTATTTTCTCAGAGTTTTCCACACCCTTATTACCCATTTTATTCATATATGTCAGATAGCAAACAAGTTCCCTAGGACTTTTTGAAAAAATCCAAGATGGCTGTCATTTGCCATAGAAACAGCCATAGGAATACTAGTGCACAACTATTACCAGCTAGAACGATACGTTGTCCACTATCAAATTAAGTCTGTTTCTCAGATCTTTGTGACCCACATAATATGTTTGTGGTGAGTAACTACGAAGTGTTCTTGGGCATTTTGGAAAATCCAAGATGGCTGCCATGTGCCACAGGAATTCTAGTATACGGGGGATTCAACTAATGGCAACTGGAAAGATCAATTTTTCACTATCAAATTAAGCTGGTTTCTGAGTGTTTTCCACATCCTTTCTACCCACACAATATGTATGTGGTGAGTAACTAACAGTATTCTTGGGCATTTTGAGAAAATCCAAGATGGCCGTCATATGTAATAGGAATACTTCTAGTATTATAAAGGGTTGGAACTAATGCTAGCTAATTCACAATCAAATTCAGTTTATTTTTTTAGTGTTTTACACATTATTATTACACTGTGATACATATCTAGCAGGTAATAAATGTGCATATTTGATCATTTTGAGAAAACCCAAGATGGCCGTCACTGGCCATAGGAATACTACTGGAATTACAACTGCACATCCATGGCTTTTCATCTACTACCAGGGTGAATTTGTGTTTGCTTATCAAGTTTTGCCCATCCTTATAGTCCTATGATATATATCTGGTGGGTAAATAGTGTGCATCCTTGGATATTCTGAGAAAAAGACACCTACAATTTAACATAGGAATACTAATGGGTGGGTTTCAATTGCTGCTAGAGAGGCATATGGTTCATTATACGATTACATTTCCATTGGTTTGTTTTAAAAGTAATTTATGTTTTTCATTCCATTTATTATTACCCCTATGATGTATACCTGGTCTGTAGCATGTGTGTATCTTTGGGTATTCTGAAAAAATTCAAGATGTCTGCCTTTTGTCATTAGAATATTAGAACACATAATCAAATAATGCTAGAGATACACTGAGTACGATTTAAATGTAGTTAACTTTGGGTCGTTTTTAAATGTTTTTCATATCTTATTTATCCTTATGAAAGACTCTGTGTGTTTTGAAAGTGTATGTATCCTTGAGTATTATTCGGAGAAAACCCAAGTTAGCTGCCAGTTGTCATAGGAATACATCATTCAAATGCACATGGTGTCAATTAATAGAACAGTTCAGACATTGATTCCAACATGAAATAAAGTCGTTTGATGTTTAAACATGTTGACATCCTTATTAACCTTACTTTTTATAAATCTGGTGTGTAGCAAGTGTGCATCTTGCGTATTTGAGAAAATTCAAGATTGTTGCAATTCACAATAGGAATAGTACAATCAACTACTGGCAAAGAGACATTGGGTTCAATATAAAATGAATTTTGTTTCTCGGTATTTCCCACATTCTTTTTTGGATTTTTAGATATCTATCTGGTGGGTAACAAGTGTATACCCTTGAGTATTTTGAAAAAATATCATGATTACCCTCATTTGCCTTAGAAGTGCCTATAAAATCTAATGCACCAGTTTTCCTATGGGGAAAAGAAGGCCATCTTGGATTACCCCAAAATGATAAAATATGGACATTAATTACCTAACNTATTATTTCCTTGTCATTGTGCAGGATTTTGTAGGTGGTCGCCATGTAAAATAATATAAGAGTTTACCATTCTAAACATGGTTTCGTGGATATCCTCTACATGATTTGGCATATGTTACAACTAATTAGGTCACTTTCCGTAGTCTAATTAAGTTAATTTGAATTGCAATTAACTCTGAGACACGACACACCTGTTGGTGTATACATTAACACACCTGTATTTTGATTAGGTGATTTTGACAGTATCAAAGGGTTCGATAAGGCAGGCATTAAATAGAGTACAACTTCAACGGGTTTTCATCAGTTTTCAATTTAGTTTTAAATGCCAACTGATCTAAGTTGAAATGTCAACCAGTCGAGACTTAATTAGTTTTTTTTTCACAGCACATGAGTCACAACAGTTGAAAAGCAAATAGCGTTTTAAGTATACAGAGACATCTAATTTAGTACTACGGCATATATCAGCAGTTTTGAATTTGTCCCTTGTGTGTGGTATATCAGTGATCACATCGGCGCTATTCAGAGTCAACTTGCCCAAGGTCATAATCCGACACCGAGACGCTCTCGTTTCGCGCTCGTATATACGCGCCCTCTCTCCCCCCCCCCCCCCACCTCCCGCACCCCCCCTCTCCCCCATCAGTCAATTTATTTCCGCCAGAGAAAAAATTTTTCAGGAATTCGTTTACCTCTTTGATCTCTATTCAACCAATAGGCATCAGAAAGCTTGTCTCTGGGGTTTGGAATTCATTGTAATTTCCACTGATCGATTCAGAAGGAAAGATCGCCCCTCCCCCCACCCTCAAAAAAAAAAAAAAAAATGCGCCGTTTCCATCTCCTTCTAAGCGCTGAGGTTAGATAAGGCTAACCTCTCTCTCTCTCTCTCTCTCTCTCTCTCTCAGGCCCAAATCTATTAACTATGCCAAATTATTGTCGCAAAAATTTTATTAATAAAGTGGATGGGCTGAAGACAATGCAGTTGTAAGAGTTTTTAACTCGCTGTGTAAACTTTGCCCTACTTCACCAGATACTAATTACACCTCTTTATCTTCATCATATTGTACTGATAATGATATAAAAGTGGATGACAATTAAGATGACTTTAAGATGACGTTATTTATCTCAATATTAACAGCTGTAGGTGAATGATTTAAGATACAGATTTCATAGGGAGCGCTCAAACAAGTAAATATTACCTTGAGTCGGTCGGCTACACAAACGCTTTGAAGAGCTTAAAGTTCTCCCCCCTTCCCTCTCTCTCTCTCTTTCTCTCTCTCACTTCAAAATGAAAAAAAAAAACATAGGTGGCATGGCCGGCTGAGGACCATGGGCACAAACTTTTTCTCCGTCTCTTTATTTTTCTGATATCTCTCGCTTTACATTGTCATGTCAATCACGTTGAAATTGATCGTACTCATAAAAACGAGCCGACACAGGGGTTCGTGTGATTGGACTTTTCGTGACATCCCGATGACCGCCGATCATTGTAATATAGCCCCCGTCTGTATCTGATAGCATCAGTGGAAATAATTCTCGGTATTTTTCATTGTTTTTAAGTGATGAAGACATTTACCCTAAAGTGGAAAAGGTTAATTAAAATGTCCACATTCATAACTTGTAATCGCAAACTTGGCGTACCGTTACAGATATTTATGGGAAAGGGTCTGAAACAGAATTAGCTGACAAAATTAATTATTTATATTAAGAAGATAAACAAATAAAACTGGAGATAGATAAATAAATATATTGAAATAAATAACAAAGTTGATGATGAAATTACCTGTCCAGTTTTGATCGAAGATGGGAGGGGGTAAAATAAGTAAGTAAATAAATAAATCACAGGTTATCTTTTTCGATCCAGCACGTACTGAATATAATATACTATTTACTCATATTAACGAGGAGACAACAGGTCACTCTACAAACACTAATAAGGGCGGACAGGCCGCGCGAGCCCCGACATCGACCGGACTTACGGAATGTTTTTCCTGACCGCCGCCCCGCCTCGCTTTTCCATTAGTCTCCATGAGATTAGTGTTAGAAATCTCGTCAAGATCAGGGAGATAGGGATCTGAACCCAGGGGCTTTGTTGTGTTTGTATTAAGCTTACTGTTTTTAATTATCAAGACAAGAAGGCACCACCCATGCCAAGTTCTACAAAAACACGATTTTTACTAAATACTGAAAAGAGAGCTGAAGTTTTAAACCGAACATATAGGCCCACTAAATCTGAAACAGTACACTAATGCAAAATTAGTAGTTATTGGTTCGAAATACGGATCACTTTTAAAACACAAGCGTCATATTTTATTTAAAGGGACGCCGACAAATATATCTTAGGTCACAGTAGATAAAATCTGTAAGTCTGTAAGTTTTGCCCAACTTTCGTCTGAGAGGAAGACTCCAAACAAAAACATACCTAATTGTTATGAAAATTATATTATATGCACTCTTGTAGTATTTTTTTTCTCTTTTGTCATTTGCTTTTCGGTCAGTACGGGATGTTATAGGAAAAAAACTTGTTATATACATTACTGGTATGAATGTTGTTTTATTTGTTTCTATTCCACAGACCCTGACCCCAGCTTGTGCAATGAAATAGGCACCGGAGCCCCCGTCGTCTTTATTCAGGGCGTCAGAGAAGATATAACAAACGGTAAGCACAAATAAATAAATTAATAAATTAATAAATAAATAAATAGACACTTCCGTTTCATTTATAAGTGAGAAGACCATATATAAATATTGTCGTACTGTTTCAGTATTTTCAAATTTTTAATCATTCTCAAGGTGTATTGATTTTTATATAATATGCGACATAATCGAATAATCCCACTATAATGATTATTATACTTTCCCTTTTTAAAGGTTCTGTCATTGATTACGTGAACTTAACGGGTACACCACAACAAATAGACCTGAGGATTAAAACCCCTAGCGAATATCTAGACTTCAATAGCGCCACCAGAGCCATCATACTGAAGAAACCAGTAGATTTAGACAACAGCACGAACGTCCCATCGATATATATCGTGCTAGATTGTGTGGTAAAGGGAGCACAAGTTTTAAACGTAAGTCAAAATTTATACGCGCGTTACAGCTTACTTGTGGCACTTAGGACGCGTGCGTTAGGATACACGAGAAAGATGCCAGGGGAAATGGCGGTCAATGGAATTTGAATCTGAAGCACGTGTTCGGAAAAGGAAAAGTGTGTTCGTTGGCACTGGCATCTTTTCAGTTACCTATATCTTTTTCATTTGATGTAAAGTTCAGGAATACAAAGTGTTTTAGATAAGACCAGTTTTCATATGTGAGTTTAAAAAATGGACGAAATTGCTACTTTTTATAATTTTCATTTTTCTTTCTTTTTTTTCTTTTTTTTTTTTTTAGGGGGGGGGGGTCTTGAATTGGATTATGTGCCACTCCTTCACCTGGTGAACATTCATGTTTATTATTATTATTATTATTATTATTATTATTATTATTATTATTATTATGCTCCAGATCCCAGTCAGGGTAACAGTTATAGTCACCGATATCAACGACAATGCACCAATATTCCTGAAACCTATTTATACAGTAGAAATATCAGAGGTAAGTGAAACATGCAAAGATACTGAATCCTCACAAGGGGATTATACCAATGAATGACAAAAATGTTTATTTTTTGGTAAAAGAAACACTACTCCCTTAGAAAAATTTTGAGTCTGCAGCAAATTTGCAAAAAGGAATTTACCATGCAAATGACAGGCATTAGCTTTTTCCACAGAAACTTGGAGTTCAGCATTTTTAAATTCAATTCTGATGGTTCCTGAGATTCGTCTTGTCTAAGATTCAATAAATGTTCAGATGTTTTTTTTTTTTTAACCTAGGCTCATGTCTGAATACTTTCAGCAAACTTCCAGCAAACTTTCACTCTTCTTTAAATTTGCAGCAACTGTAATTCTCCTTGGGACAACCTGCAGACAGTTTCTTGTAAACAGTTTAGTTTGCAGCAAATCTGCCACAAATTTGCTGCAAGCTTAAAATTTGTTTAGGACAGTGGCTAGTGTGAAGTGGCGTCATTGCTGTGACATTATAAGATCAGGGTCCATTTTCAATAAGATATCAAGAGGCTGATTTATTGACTCTTTAAGCCTTAGGATGATCCCATGAGTTAAATGGTAACATTGTCATATATGTCCCTGAGTAGTGGTCAATAAATTAAATACCTGTGAGAAACTAATCAAAATACTCATGGAGGTCTGACCATGTTAAATTCTTCCAATAGATTATCACCCCTAATGGGTACTATTGTAACAAGAGAGTTTCAGAACTTCTTATATACATTGTACTCACTAGAAGAGTGCACTTTATTAGAATAAAATGCTTCTTTTGAGGAAGCAGTGATCTACTGCATGGGGAGGTCAGTTAATGTCCCTGTTCTATTACTGGTCTTTTGTGGACTTGACACTTTGAAATATTGGTGTAGGGGAAAAGACTGGGTTGGCTATTAGGCTGATTTGTGACAATGGTGGTCTTTGAAATTGCCCATGTCCATTGGACAGTAGTTGCAGATACAGTATCAAATATACAAAGAAACCAGTAGAAAATGTTTAAAAATTGGGACGGAAAGGAAAAAAAAATAAGTAGGGGAGTAGCCTACCTCTGCTATTATTGTAAAAAACAAAGTGTTGTCAAAAATCAGCCCTGTCACTGGAATATGCAGATGCATGCAGATATTGATGGTAGACCTCTAGCAATTGCTGATACTTGGGGCTTGTGGTATCTACATGTACAAAGGTGCCCTATTGTAGACATTGTAATGTGATGGATTTACCTATGTTTCACATGTGGCAGGTACTCCAGAGCTTGCACCTAGACCCCGTCATCCCTATTAATTGTGTAATTAAGAGACTGACATTGATCTATGGGAAAGTGAATAAAATAGGCACCAGGTCTAAATCAACAACAAGGCTCAATTGTATGGTGAAATCAATGAATGATTTCTTGTGTGGTGGCCCTGTAATTGGACAATTTAGAGATCAGAGCCTTTTTAGCAATAGTGATAATTATTAATGCTACCCTCGGCATCCACCTCAAAAAGAAAAAAGAAGAAAAGAAACATTACATTTAACTGGACATAACAGATGCAATCTTTCCTCCAGCTCCATGTGAAAAGGGCCTAAAAATCTAACCTCCAAGTCTTCCAACCCCAGCACAAATTCAATATCTGCACAGGTAGCATTTTCCCATGGTGTTGGTACACCAACTCTATGACAGGGCATACAAGGTTCTTCTTAGCATGTCAAGTTTGCCATCGCCTCTTTCTACTCCAATCTCTTGTGTCAATGTATAGGTCAGAGTGGATGAGGGAGGAGTGTTTACTTGTTAGGAGGAGCTCGTCGTGTAACATAGGGGCAAATTCTTTAATATGTGAAAAAAATTAAGTAAATAATTAAGTATAATCATCTAGACCCTTGGCAGGGAATTTGAGTTGGGGGGGAGGGGCTTCTTAAACCCTGTCGTCCTTTTTGTTATACCAGTATCAATATAAAAACTAATGCAGTATTTTTTTTCAAAGGTTTCGTCATCAAAATATTCCTGATTCTTTTGACCTACCCTGATATAGGTGTACATACAGTGGTTATCAAAATAAGCTATTGTTCCCACTCTCTAATTCATATCAGCACCATACTCAGACTAGTAAAAACGTTTTACACAGCTAAGCAGCATATACTAGTATAAGCTTTATTCAGAAATGAGGTATTCAGTAACTGACTTTTAAATACCATTAAACCCTTATAATAATATTTCCCCTTCCTACTCAGTGTAGCTAACAGCCCGGGCACAAAAAGATCGTGACGCATGCCATACCTGTTTGCCCACACTTCACTTTGTTTACCGCATTTGCGACAATCACTGGGTCGGTGTCTCAAGGTGATGATCAGCCTATGTAAATTTCACTTTGTAAAGAGGTGCCAGACGTATCACATGAAACCCACCCTATTACATGTATCTCAGAAAAAAAAAATGTAAATGTTAAAAAAGTTTAAGCACAGAAATAGTACTACAAGAAATAATGCATCAAACAAGAATTATAATTAATAAATTGACCCTGTTGCCTGTATTCTTGTTAGATGAGCACCTTACAAATATTGATCAAATACATGTTATATATAATTGGTTGATAATCTCTGCAGTTAAAAAAGAATAAAATACAACCGAAATGATAAAGGCAGCCAACAAAGATAGCTGGGGATGTCATTATATGCCCATGCACACACAAAATTTAAAAATAATGACTAATACTAATATAGCGCAATTATTCCAACCACATGCAGGGAAGAATACTACATGTGTTACTGTACAGAGCACATTGCCAGTGGCGATACACCCATCGGCCTAATTTTTACAAGATAAACATAATGACCACACAAAACATGAGGTGTACATGTACACCCATATATTACTTTATCTTCCTCCCTTCCTTGACCTTTTTAGTATGTGCTAACAATTAACTTCTGTAGTGTTTGACTGGTCCTTGGTTATATACTGCCCAAAGGTATCGGTATATATATATATATATATATATATATATATATATATATATATATATATAGGGTAATATTGTATTGTCACCTAGAGGTCACAACTGCTAGTCTCATCAGTGGTCACCAAATTGTAGGGTTCAGAAAGGTCTATCCAATCTGTTACCTGAGGAAATAAAGGCCTTATGTCAGAAAGTTGTTTTTAAAGGGATGACAAGTCTTCATATGGTATTCAAAATTCCGCAATAAAAAATTGTAAACAACACTTACATGTACAAATACATAATGAATACCATTTACCACCAAAATGGTAATTTTCGCAATTACTCTGAAATCTGTGCTTGCCATTGAACCACATAGGCCTTCATAGATAGGTATCCTCCATACTATTCTCTAAAGAGATTATAACAAAAAACACACTGAAAAAGAGAAAAAGAAAGAAAAAAACTTAATGAGTAACTTTGAATCTGATGTTGAAAGGGATTCATTAACCATTGGTACAATGTAAGAATGGGAAAGTTGTCATTTACCCCAGTAAAATCCATTTGATGGCACTTTTACCACCAAAATAAATAGTTGTTATCCCTTTAAATTTGTGAAAAAAATCTTGGTCTGCTTTAACTCACAATAATCCCTGACCCTCACCAAAAGGAAGCTAGCAAGTGCCCCCTTCCCTTCATTTTAATAGCCTGGCTCTGACATTTCAAATGATACGGTTTGTATTACAAGCATTATATCACAACAAGACCTGGTTCAAAAGGTCCCCGTCCATTGTCGTGTTGAACTTTGATGATTCTAGAGTAACAATTTGATCATATTTCAAGCAAAATTCTTTCATTTACAAGAAAAAAAAATGCTCTGCTGAAGTTAAAAGTTCACGTTTGTAAAGCTGACAAGGAAATGTTCATTTATTTGGACCTGCATATATGTAATCACTTATATAATTATAGAAATAGACATGACAACAGGCTGGATGATGATGGTGATAATAACCAGGGAATTTTTTTCTGTTATTCTCTGCTATCTAATTTGGCAGACTGTGCATTTCCCACCACTAGATGTAATGCACTTGAAGTTTATCTTTAATGAAAAAGGTCTGTATTGCATGCAGACAGCACAGCTCCGGTTCCTAATAGAAAATATCAGGTCTGCTGATTATTTCGATGAACTTACTTACTTGAATGTGTACCTAAGTTTACAAATATATTGTACAAGGCGAAAAGGTACTTGTACATTTTAAATTTGTATGGATAAAGGTGTCTTATCGGCCTGAGGCATTGGGTGAGATAGCTGACAAGAAGCAAGTTTAATAAATCAATAAAAGGCATGAATAAAGAAACGGTTCTGGTGTAGAAAGATGGTAAAGTTTACAGCAGACTGCTAATTGTAGAAGTGCATGTTGCTAGCTCGAGGGGAAAAGAAAGTCAAATAACATTAATGCTCTTTTTAAAAACGACCGCAGCCTTAAAATCTTGACACAATCAAAAATAAGCCCTCCTCGCAATAACAGTTTTCATGAGTATGCAATGCACTTTGGTTGTTGTAACTGATTGTTGTGATATTTGAACAACAGAAAATGAGGCAGGAAGTTGGGGAATTTGGATGTGAGAGTTCACATAATGGTGCAAATGGCAGAGACATTTGGTGTCAATTGCCTATGTACACCTTACTGCGTCAATATTGAAACAAATGCATTATGGGTTTAAATGGGCATTTTGGCTCAAATAAAGATGGTGTCGGTATAATACAGTAATATAATGCACTGCATTTATGACCCGTTAATGTCTTAATTGCACGGATACTAACTTTGCTGTCCAATTATTTTATTTTCAACTGAAGGCCGGCTCACTGTTTATAGTTTGGCTTAAATTACATTATGATACTGCATTCATTTTACTTTGATGCAGGATGAATAAATGTTCATATTCTACCACTTTCTTGAGATCTGTTTAATGTCCTTTGACCTAACGGCACCAAGTATTTACCATTTAATTTCCACTTTGAAATACAGATCAATTTCTCTTCTTGTTCCAATTATATTTAAGCAAGAAAAGATTTCTATAAAATGCCATATAATACATTTACTGTACTTCTTACTGTTGTTAAGATCAAAGTCAAATTTGCCCAATTCAAAGTGCAATTATTACTTCAAATGGAATGCATTAGTGAAAATGTTACCACTGTAGCGCTAAAGGGTGTTTTCCTAATATACTGTAAACTATTATTAAAATTAACAAAAGTACATGTACATATGTAGCTGTAAGATGTGTGATTGATGTAAACAAGAAGTGCTGACAAAGGGCATCTGCTAGTGTGTCAAAAGACAGGACAAAATCTCCATCTTTACAGTGAACAAGACCTGCATGCTACATGGTTTATTACCTGTTGTGAGATGTGCCATGTCCACTGACCAGAAAATTTGGTCTACTTTCAGATTGTTGACAAAATCATTGCCTTTATCATAAACAGTTTGTTCAAGAATGTAGCTGACACATTTTTCTGTTTATATGTTCCATTCACAGTGTGCATTGTTGACAACAAAAGGCATAACTTCATAAAAACATTTTTGACCTTTTCAACTTTCTCACAGAAAGATTTGTCACTTCTCGATCTCACTGTACTGGCCAAGGTCATATATGGACATATGCTATAACAAAGGGAACATGCCCAGCTTTTGGACACAATTTTTTCTCAATTAAACAGTTCTAAAAAAGGTATACGCTGTGGAATTCCACACATAGAAAGTCACTTTCTGGGAACATTTGTCCATTTTTTTTGTATTTCACTCATCCAGTTGGGAGGGGGGAGGCAAATGCACAACTTATAACAAAGTATAACATTTGGTAACATTGTTTTTCAGCATAGTTTTATAAAGGCAACATTATAACACTTAGCAAAATTTTGGAACCATCATGACCGTGTGCTAGTAACCTGATATGAAGGGTGCCAAACAATATAATGATTTCCAAAATGGCACTAGTATTTCTATAATATTTTAGCCATTTCCCTTAACGCATGTAACAATGAATAGCATTTAATTACATTGTATCTTTCAACTGGAGACCACTTCACTGTATTTAACATTTATTAATAACACAGTAACAATTTATAACATTGTATCTTTCAGTTAACACCAGTGGGGACAACCATTGTCACTGACATCCTGGCTACAGATGCTGACAAGGATAACAGTTTTATAGAATATTCTATTTTACCTGGGCCAAACTCAGTGAGTATTGCAGTATGTGGTTGTTGAATGTAAACACTTGTCTTTTTTATTATTATTTATTCATTTATTTATTTGGTTTACTATGTATTAGAGTAATAATAGTCGATGATCGCTTTGTATGTGTTAAAGAAAAATTATCTCCAAAAAAAAGTCCAGTCAAAGCAAGCAAACACATGCAAAGTGCTAAATTAAATAAATTTAATGGAAATATATATTCCTGTCCAAACTTATACCATGTTACCGTGCAGACAATAATTACGGTATAAAGCTGCTACCATGAAGTCATTTCGCATGAGCCAAGTTTACAAAAAAATAAGTCAAAAAAGTCACTGTTGAATGTTATCCTAATTCAAACTTTGAATGGCGTAAAAACTGCTACTGATTCGAATAAAAGCAATTAATTAAGGCTTAAATGGAATTTATCAGTGCCATTTATTTCACTCTGTCCTGGATTTAAGGGCTGTTCTTTTACGTTCTGTCTCACGTTCAGTGTGGGGTTTATCAGCAAACGGGATTACATCAAGGGATGATTTGAGCTGTATACAGACATTTTATTCTACCGACAGAAAAATCTCATGGCAGCTGTCTTTAAGTCTTGCTGAGTTTTGGAGTTTACCAGATAGATGAATAGATGCAAATGTAGATAAAGGAGTAAATATATAAATAGATGCACCTGTATATCAGGCCTGCAGCCAGAAATTTTAGTGTTTTTTTTTTTTTCCTGAAAAAAAATGGACTTTTTTCATCCCTTTGACTCAACTTGAAAAATGGAATGTAATAAAATAAAACGGTGGACCTTTTCTGACCAAGAGTGTGGTTTCTTAAATTTGACCTCTCTCCCCCCCCCCCCACCCCACCACCACCACCAACAAACCAACCCCCATGGGCCTGTAAATATATTTCTTACTGTCATTTGTATATTTCACTAAAAGACTTAAAGATTCCATAATCATGCATGTAGATGAACATGGAATCCAGTTGTGAATTTATGTCCCTGGGATGGTTCTCAGTTTTTCAATCGATATCCCGGCAGTTGACAAGAAAAACAGTGGAACTATGTGGCAGGTTCAGGCAGTTTTCTGAACAACGCAACTTCCTCAAACAACAATACGTATACACACCATACCACAGGAGAACAAAACTGAAGGGACACAGCCTCTGCCAATGCAAAGTAAATAAACCCCATTTGAAAACACTGTGACTAATTATAATTTACTTAAGTCTGTAAATGTTTGTGCTGCTTTTGATAGGGCTGGATAATTCACACTTTACCCGTGTGGGCTTTTGTGTCTTGGAGTTGATTTTAGATTGAGAAAATAGGATCGGGATCAAGAAAGGTGTTCAATATGTGTCACGCATTATTTGCTGGTCAATCAATGAAATCAGAGGGCACCGAGCCTGAAATTTATCACTGCTTATATTATTAATAATTTAGTCATTAAAATAAAAAGCACTGGGATTGTTTCTGGATAAATAATCTGGTGCCTAGTCAGAGTTGCAGCATTTTAACCAGTACATGTACTAAAAAATGCACATTTTTTTTCATAATCAACATTGTAGGCTTATTAGTGTCCATGAATTTGTTAAGTAAATAGACTGGTCACAGTCCAGTGAATGACCATATTATATGATATGGGTTACATTATCATACAGTAGCAGTAGGGTCCAATGAGCAAGACTGAAATTGGTTTTGGCATGTGTGTTCATTTCCATCCATAGACATCAAATAAAAACACAGTCCATGTATGAGTATCTACATGTAGCTGGTGAAAATAAAAGAGACACACAAAGTAAGGAATGTCAGACCGTTGTAATGGGGAATTGGACACAATCTACCAGAAAACCTGTGTTATTATTATTTTTGGGTGGGTGAAATATAAATTTAACACAAATCTTTTAACTGTTTTTTGTGCAGGAAAATGATCAGATCAGTTATACTGGTATGTGTTATATGTTGTGGGTGGTATGTTGTATTCTTAAAACTGAAGCTCATGATCCATGATAAATTAGAAAAAAAATTGGTTAATTAAAACCAAATTAATAAAATAGTTGCTAAAATAAGGTAGTGGATATAAGTAAATAGATTTCAAAAAGTTAACAATTACTTTTTGCCTATACATTATAAAGAAATATATTGGACTACATTTTTTCAATTGCCAGAAATTTTTATGTCCTTTAAGTCTGTATTTGCCTAAGACGGATTACGTCCTGTGCACCTTATGTTTGAATTCTCACCATCAGAAATAAATATAACCACAAAAGTTAATAACAGGCATGTCAGGTACCATGTGATAAATTTGAATTTAGCTGAAAAGTACAAGGAGTCTGTGAAATCCAATTCTCTCATCATTATCTGAAAAAAAAACTGCAAACAAAACACCTCAGGAAATAATCTCGAGTAAAAAAAGTTACCATGCACAAAAGTTCTGTCATCATGGTCTTAAATTATAGAGATAATTTCTCAGCAACAATGCACTTTTACTAACCTGTAATTTGACAGTACTTAACGGAGAGTATATTATGGCTTAAGTTTGATAGATGTCTCCGTTAACTACCCTGAAGTTAAGAGTCCACTTGAAACAAGCACTCTAATATCAATCATGCTGGTGCATTAATATTATAACAGGGATTGGGTGGCATTGGCAGGGTACAACAAGAAGAAGAAAACTCCCATCAGGTCCTAAAGAATGTCTTATAGAAAATTAGCCCAAAGTCCTCTTTGGTCCTATATAGCACAAATATCCTAGATATGAATCCTATAGGACATGTAGAATTCCTGTAGAGGCCCATAGATTCCTGTGGGATTCCTATAAAGTCCCACAGAGTCCTGTAGGAAATTTTTCCTAAGGTTTGCCATTAGCTTGACCTCCGGGGTACAAAATTATGGAGAAAATTTCTTTATTACTAATAACAGTTACAGGTAGATGTCCTTGTCCTTCAGACTGACAGCTATGATAAAGCCATCATGGCTACTGGAAATAATAATACCTAATTAGAGCAGGAGTTTATTGTTGGATTCATATACAAATACTGTACATGATTCAGCGAGGCACTTTTGACATCCTTAAGCACCTTGAATGTGTGACTTATATAGATAGATGTTATATATTTAGTACATACAGTAAAATATACCAGTTGAGTCACAGTCCTTATAAAATTTACCGAAAAGATAACAATAAATAATGATAATAATAACAATAACAATAATATAATTCAAGTTGCATGGTGATTAACTAAGGTGTTTACTGATACCTGTAATTTCCATATTTCACCCAGGGCAACTACAACTACCAAGCCCCTTCAATACTATTTATGGTATACAGCTACTTCTACTAGCTAGTACTAGTACTAAAAGTTAGTTCAGTTTACACTTATAACATGACAGCTAGATAAGATGTAGAAATATATGTTCAAAAACTAGCACTTAAAATAAACAAAATTTTAACAGTGTTTGTATAAATATGAAGCAAGAATATATATGACAATTAATTGAGTAAAAAAAAACAAAAATCACTCAAAGGTTGACTGTTAAATAACAATTTTCCAGTCTTTGAGGAATCAGCTTAGGTTTACAGTGTTAGCTTTCCCCTTAGCTAAGAAAAGGTCATGTCTTGACTCACAGGGCCATCTATCTGAAAGCAAGTTGCTCCTTTCTCTCACCTGCATGTCAAAGATTAATTGACGATAATGATGACGATTTTTCTCACATCCACAGGGCTTGTGAAACATATCTTTTTTAGCTTTCAGCATACAGGTGCTATTATTCATGGCAAGGGTTGAATTATAATGCTGTCTGTGAGTAATGTGGACAGACTCCTCTTGCTGTGACCGCCAGAATCGCTGGTTTGTTCATTTGTGTGAAAATTTTAAAATGCTGGAAGGAACATATTGCAGGCGCAAGCAAATAGGATTGTGCATTAAATGCGGAAAGAATATTAAATGCAGGGAAAAAAATAGTAATAACGGAGAGGGCATGCCTGTATATAAAACAAGGAGAATAATGTATTTAAATACATGCTAATAATTATAAGTAATAATATTAAAAATGCCAGAAATATTGCAATATTGTATAGATAACTTCAAAACATTACTGGTATTATAACAAAATTCATCAGCACAAACAATTTAAGATAAAAAAATTGAAGAGTTTGGAATCTTTGATATTTAATGTCAAGTCACTGGTTCAGTGCGTGTCAAGGCCATAGGTCAAGGTCACACATCAAGGTCATCAGACAAAAGTGAGATCTTGTCAGCTAGTCCAAACTATCCCCCGGATGATCAGAAAAAAAAAGACCAGAAGTTACAAATTAATTTTTGATATGTCACAGTCACCTCAGGTTTGCTCCTGTTAAGCAAAGTTTACAAAATCCAATCAGGAAAACTGGAAAAAAAACTATAGGATTATCTTTACCACGTTTGCACATACAGTAATCTTTTTCTAAACAAGCTATCTTAGAAACCAGGCAAATATATCCTGTTGTTGCTGTGTTCTTTAAGACTCTAGATACATACATGTAGTCAACAAGGAATTAATTAAATGTAAATGACAGGGGGCTTCTTTTAATCACAATTTTTGTACCAAAGTGACTGCTTTCTTGAGGATTAATAGCAGTATCACCAAAATACCATGTCAAAACCAGAAAATAATTGAGTGCAACAGATTACTTTATAATTGGGCATCTTCTACAGCTGATGCACATCTGGCCAATAAAAAGAAACATTTAGGTTTAAGCTTAGGAAATGTCACTTGTAACTATGTTATTTAAGGAACATTTTAAGGTGATTTATCATCTTTAAGAGGTTAACTCTGGTGGGAAAGGAAAGGTGTAGAAGTGAAAATATATCAGTAATATATAAGACACAGTGAATATGTAGAAAATGTGATAGTTGTGTTGTCTATAAAATGTGATAAGATGTGAAGTGGAACATCATCCCTTCTGTTGCCCAGCATATGCTACGGTTTGATGGGAATGATAATGCCCATGCCTGGAGGCATGCACATTAGACCATTTATGCAGGGACATGCTGTCTTGCACTTACCTGTACATATGCACACATTTTCCTTTAAGCACATTTCTATGCAGCTATATGTACTATGCACACACGAGGGCTGTAGGAATGGGATGTGGGGATAGGGGGTTCAAAAAGAACCACCCTTTTGGTAGGTGAAGCTTGTCAGTTCTGCTTCAGAATTTGAAACAAGTTCTGGTATATCATTTCTCAATTTATCAGAAGAAAAGCCTACCTTTGAAATTGTTCTTTACAGGCCTACACATGCAGATGCATGCACAAATGCACAAGCATGCACACACATACATGCATGCACACACTCTCAAACGCAAGATAATCTTCAAAGCTAGCACTGTAACCCACTCTGACAGGTATTTAATTATTATGAAAGTGAAACCTCAGCCAAATTATCATTGAATTTTTTTTTTGATTTACAGACTTACTTTGACATCCCAATACCCGCCCAAGGCAAGGTGACACTGAACAGGTCCCTGGACTATGACAGAGGTCAGAGGGCGATGACAGTTGTCATCATGGCAAAGGTGAGTTGACACGGGACAATATAATGTGAAAGATGTTCAGTGATAGTTGTCACAATCATGTGAGATGTCAATGACATAATGACTGTGGTATATAGGATGTCAGTGACAGTTGTCATCATGGCAAAGGTAAGTTGACATTGGACAATTCAATGTGAAAGATGTCAGTGATAGTTGACACAATCATGTGAGGTGTCAATGACTGTGGTGTATAGGATGTTAGTGATGGTTGTCCTCATGGCAAAGGTAAGTTGACATGGGACACAATCACATAAAAACCATCAGTGACAGATGACACAATCACATGAAGGTCAGTGACACAATGATACAGTGGTGTTTAGGATGTCAGTGACAGTTGCCCAGAAGGTAAGTTGACACAGGACATGGAACACGTTGGTCATGTGAGATGTCAATGACATTTGACACATTGTTGTATAAAGAATATCAGTGACAAGATAGGTTGTCAATTAATGTGCATAAAGTGCCAGTGAATATTAACATGAAATTTAAAATTGACATATGGTTAAGATGTCAATGACAGTTGACTTGCACCCCATTTCCATAGATTTTTAGATCGATCTATCCCTGTGGGGAGTCTCACTAGATTACTGTCAGCTTGGCCGGCTTAAGCGTCTGTCCCGCCTACTAAAAGCTGTAAGGGGGTAATTAAGTATGGTGCCCGCTCGGCTGACTGCATTTTACACCTTTTAGCGTGAACCCCCAGGGAGTTAGGTCGATCTAAAACTTAATCTTTAGATCGATCTAAATCTCTGGGAAAGCACCCTTACTTTAGAAGGTGATTAAGTTAATTGGCAGCTGACTCATGTTGCAAGCAGCTTATTTCAAAGCATAACAAATAATAAGAACATGAAATGTTTTTAAAAAACTACTTTAAACTGTGTGACAACATCACCTTGAAAAATTTGTTGAACTGGCATCAGTAGCAGCTGACAGTATGTTGTGGTTCGTGTCAGTGACAATTGTTATCAGTTATTGAAGGCTGTCAGCTGCCATCACTTCTTTAAAGCAGTTAATTCTAAGATAAGAAAATGCTTGTGGAAAAGGTCTTAAATATCTTAACTGTGTAATTGTTTCCTCAGTGTTTAACCATGAGTGTCAGCATCAAAACAAATGTTTGTTAATCTTGTCATTTTTGTTACCCCTTTAAAGCTAAAAGTTAAAGATTAGTACAGTATTAAGCCGAAACCCATGCCACGTCAGGTGTAGACCTCTTATTTTATCAGCACTGCACATTTTCTGTGGACATTTCAGTCTATCATTCAAATCGATTCACCCAAATAGTCGAAGGAATAACAATGAGAATGACTTGCACGATTACACGTATTATTATGGCCAGATCACGATGGAAGTGAATACAGTATGACAAATGTTTTAAATAATAAATTACTTCTGACCAGATTTTCAATAAATGCTTTCATTCAATTTTGAAACATTGTATCATCAGTTCTGTTACTAATGTAACTATAACATGTTCCAAATACACAGGACATGAACAACAATCCTCCTTTTAATATACACACATGCTGTATGGAAAAGAACATTTGCATACTTCATGTGTAGGTAGTCAGAGAGGCTATCAAAATACCTGGCTATTGTCAAACAAAATGTCCGCAAGGTGTAAAAGTCCCACGAGATATTAATCCCTCCTCTGATATACACAGGTATGCAAGTCAAATTTGGAATGCTTTCATTAACAATCATTGGTGATTAAAAGTTTGGGAACACAACAGAATGGTTTCAAGGTAAACATGACCGAAAGGTCATGGTATGTACACGGTACCTTATGGCATTTTTCTCTACATACAGGTGGAGAAAACACCCCCTAATCTGCAGATTAAGTTGTAAGCTAAACTGTTGAACTCCATGTTGAGTTTAAACTTGCGCAACGTAATGGTGTAACACAAGTGTCCCGTGTGTTAAGCACGAGATTCTTTGTTGGCGGCCTGGTGTTCAAAACTCATTTCAACAACAGCGTAAACATGGGACCCATTGTCCAAGCAGGTTGCTGGATTTATCCTAACCCACGGGTCTCAGGGCCTATTTTAACAGGTGATTAAATAGGAAGTCATCAGGTGGCCATAACCCTCGGACTTGTGAGAGGTTTTATTTGATCATTGCAATAAATTGAAATGATGTTTAATTTTGCAGAAAAATATACAATAAGGATAGTGTAAACCCCTCCCCAGTCTAGATAATGATGTAAATATAGGTAGAAAATTTGGAAGTTTATGGCTTTAAAGGATTAACAATAGGATTTGATAGCAATGGGGCTACCACTTGAGAATACTTAATATATAACCATTTTGTGACCAGAGTAGCCACTTGACCAATATTGATCTCTGATATGCACTTGTTGACCTGTGTAGGGTCAGTTTAATGACTGCTTTTAGGTAAACATGTACCAATTTGTGTTTAAGAGGAAAAAAATGATATGATTAGAAAAACACCTGTTATATGCCCTGTCTCAGATTTGAAAAGAAAAAAAAAAATGAAAGAAGACTAAACTCACATTGACATTAAAATGCACACAGTCCAAACTAAAATATATATACTTTGTCAAGCTTTTCAATGGATTAGAATTGTGAAATTAATAGTGGTCTTACAAAGGAAATAAATTGAAAACCATTCACACTTTACCTGTAGAAGTCTCAAGGACAAATAAAAGTCCAAAGCATTTACATGTTGTCCAGCTTCATTACGTTAAAGGGAATGTGCCTCTTACCTGAGGCAGGTAACTTAATACAAAGCAGCTAATCCCCCCTTATTTACTATTGTGTAATTGCTTAAGTAACACAATAGAGATCAATATAAATTATGTTATTTGAAGGAGGATGATGTGGCTATGCACATTACTTACAATGTAATTGTGATCGAGTTAAGAATGGGCTAGAATAACATGCTTGATTTGATATGCAAATCTGCCCATGGAGCAGAATTAAGAGCAGGAACATTTATTCTAGCTATGTATGTTTTGGAAATTAATTGCTTTGGGTTAGACGCTCTGCATTCCTATTTATTGTGGCCAGTGTATTTGCGTGCTTTTGAATAATTAAGAGCAGAGACTAAGGTTTCTTTGAGTGTCTTTTGTTTTCTTTACATAAATCAACAAAGCAGAAATCCTTCACATGTGACAGCTTTCTTCTGTTATCACTATTCTACATACTAGCAATACCATGTTACATTGTATCATTTTATAATATCATAACACAGGTGTATAATGTGTATTGGCCTTGTATTGTTTAACAAAGTATCAAAAACTGTCACATTGTTATAGTCTTATGTTATAAATTTCCCACAGTCCAGTATGTTATTTGGCAGATGTTTAATTGTGATTATTTATTTATTTATTTATTTATTATTATTAATATTATTTTATTATGGTTGATAAAACCCTCCTCATTCCATTAAATACAAGTCAGTTTCACAGTTTTCAAGCTGCAGGTGTTTTAAGAATGCAATTTTTACTTGCTTAAAATTATCTGAAAAATAATTAATTGTAAATTTGAATTAAAAGAAACTACTTATGCATCAAGATTTTTTAGTATCATAAATGCCTTTTAAATATTTATTCATCAATCTAGAAACCATCAATCCTACACAGAGGGTTACCTATTTATAATCATGGTTTATATGGTTTATCTGCATGAATATGATAAATGTAAGAACTGAACAAAATCATTTGAAACTTTTAAGTCATAGTCAATGCAAAATGTGGCAATGTTTAGGAAAAAAGAATGAAAATGAAGAATTACATAAAAAACTAAAGAAAAATAAATAAAGAAATACCACAATAAATAAATAAATAAATAATTTCCCTCTCAGGACCACCCAGCCAATGGGGACCCCCAGTTCAACACCACAGTGTTACTGAAGGTCAATATCACAGACGGAGATGACCAGAATCCTAAGTTCCTACACCCTGTCTATGAGGGGACAGTCCTAGAAAATGCCACCAGGGTAAGATGGCAAGCGGGGTCTTGAATTACTCCTAGGATTTGTTTCTTTAATTTATTCTCCAGTTTTCTGTATGTAAACAAGCCTCATCACAAGATCAATTGAAGAACTGTATTTAGTGGACTAACATAAAAAGTTAATTTTGATGAGAAGTAAAATAAATCATTGAAATAACAATACACAAATTTGCAACAGACTTGATCTTTCACTTATTTTCTTCTGACTGTTTACCTCTAGAGTTATACCTTATCTTATCTATCAACTATTTCTTTCTAGAACACACAGGTTCATATGTTTACACCAATATTTGCCATAGACCAAGACACGGGAATAAATACTGGAGTATTGTACACCATAGAGAGGAGTGACAGCACTGACACTGGTAGGTATATGTATAACACTGTTCATCTGGACTGCGAAGAACATTAATTCCCAGTTCAGACTATTAAAATGGCTGCAAGATTTTATAAAGTGCTCCTCAATTGAAACAAACTTGGCAATTAAAGCTTGCAGTTTAATTGCATTGGTCAACATCACATAAAAATTTATTTGAGTATTTTGGCATTTACTCACACATACACACTTAGGATAAGAAATATCTGATCTTTCCAGGTGACAGCAGCTATTTTTACATTGACCATAGAACAGGGAACATATTTGTACAGAAAGATACACTGTTCAGAGGGAGAGAGTTCTTCTTTCAAGTGAAGGTATGAGTAGGATGTGTGAGATTTGTTATCATTTATAATGAACATTCAAGTTATAAACTTATAAAGGTGTGATGCTTAGTTCATCATCACATAGTACTAACAAAGCACAGTCACACCATTACAAAATACCATATCTCACACACACACTCTGTTATGCCTAAGACTTTGTTAATACCAAAAACCAGTCAATCAGAATCGCACCTAACACACTGTCACACCTAACACACTG